CTATGGATTGCTAGAACGTCATAATGACCTTCTTCAATCAGTTCGCCGACTTCCTGGATCACGTCATTCACAACCTATACGGGTTCTTCCCCGTTCTTCTCTGGTAAACCATTAATTTTTGTGCTATTCTTCCTCAAATACTGTTCATTGTAATTTGCTTTTGAAACTGCTGACTTTGTCATCTTTTTGTTTTGTTCCGTTCTGTTATGCAAGTTACTTGAAGCTTTCCGCAAATTTTTTTTTTCTTGATGCAATTTCTCATTCTCTCCTCTGAGTTTTACAACTTCTTCGTTCAATTTCTTCTCAAATTTTTCTTGGTATCTACTAAATAATTCTTAATTCTACAACACTTCTCACAACTGTTTGAATATCACTGACATTTACTGTCTTTTGAGTTCGTTGTTACTTTCGGTCAGCTGTGTTTGATTTGAATCCGTTGTTATTTGGATATGGTTTTACTGCGTACGTTTTGGAGAGGATTCAGAGAAGAGAATACCCTTGTGGTAATTCATTTAACTGTTTTTTGGAGATTTGCTAGCCTAGCAGCTGGAGTCGAACCTTTACGAGTAGGCGACTCCAGCAACACCACTAGAAGGCTTCTTAAAAAATTTCTATATAGTACTCATGTAGATTTATAGATTTACAATCTATAAATAGATTTTACTCACTACACTTTTGTTTCGATCCAATTCCTTAGAAATGCCACTCCCAGATTTCAAATAAGGAAACCATAAGTATCCGCCCTCACCAAGCCTGAAATCACAATTTGACTATATTTCAGTCCCATATAAACTTTTGAACTCCGCCTCACGCTCCCTCTCTCGACGCGTCTTACCACGAGCAGCGCCAATTTGGGGTCACATTTAGCAAATTTAACTTTATTTTTTTTTAAGTCAAACAAATCTTGGAACGCTTGAACATAGTTCATGAAGACATCTTTATGATAAAATTCCAGAGTTAAAAGTCAAACTACACCAATGAAATCCACCTTTCAACTGCTTCAGTATTTCTTTTGCTGGTGTTTCCGATGGACGCACATTACATTTTAAATCAGCATCGGAATTTAAAAGACTTACCAAGTTTGGTTTCACATCCACAATATGAATTTTCGTAACCGGTCATCTTTGTCATTCATAAAGTTCAGAGTATTTCATTTTTTTGTATGTAGCACAGTATGCCTTTTGATGAAAGAAAGAGCGAATTAGGAGGGTAAATGTCCCAATCACGTTTCCTTACTTCAACTATGAACCTTAAAAGCCATTTGTTTATGTAATCCACGGAAAAATTATCCAAATTTAAAAAAGTATGCAGTATTTCGTGAACTGCGCAAATCATTAAACACTCTCACTGCCCATGCTGTACTTTATTAGTTTGTTAGAGTTGTCCTGGAGATGTAAAAAAGTGCTGATGTCCACAACCTTTCAGGTGCTTTGCGTTGCTCAGGTGATAACAGTGTACGGTAATTTTCAAAAACTAAATTGACATTGCTCCCTCCTTCAAAGACGTGTCCACACATGTCACTTCATAACAGTAAAACTCCTTCTCCAAGACACTCGAGATTAATTATCGAGCTTAAACTTTTGACGTCATTTGTGCATGCTGTAGGCCGACTATGGAATTAAAAGTATTCACTTTTCTGGATAAAAATGTAAGTACCATCTATTACGAGAATGGCGCTGGGGTCCAATGCATCACCAAATCAAAGCTCTGCTAATGGCATTGTGTCATTTGAAATGATGGCTTTCCCTGAAATCTGTTGAAAACGAAGGTGGTTTGTCACAAAAGTTTTCGCCAGTGTTTTTCTTACAGAGGAAATTGCACGACGCAGGTTTGACCTTGAAATTCCAAATAAGGTGGCCATAATTTTGGTTTAAAGTGTATACTTCATCTTCATACAAAAGATTGCAATGGATGTCTCGATGCTTCGAGTTGGTGTGTTGCGCATTTCTTGTGTTGCACATATACAGATATCCTTAAAATCTCTCTTGTACAACTCTGTCAAGTTCAGATGATCTTCATAGACATCTCTCTGTCATCATCAAAATATATTCTTGACCTTGAAATTGATGTCACGATATCTTTAATTTTTTTTTATTTCAAAAAGTGACATGTCAAGTTACTTTATAAGATTTTTAGTCACATTCACACACACATTCACACTTCCCCTCTGATTTTAAACAAGAATGAAATATAAAATATATGAAATTCAAGAAATATTTAAAGTTGGTGTTTTAATAAATGGTGACCATAGATTATCAAAATTGTTCATTGTAAAATTTTGAATTGATATGCATTTTTCTACTTTGTACTTAAGAGTTAAGTGATGTAGCAGCCCAGTAATCATTGGCATTTTGTTCTGCTTTAAACAGGAAAAGATATATTGCTTTGTATGTAAAATAATGAAATTTATCACCCTATTATGATAAGAAAAGATATCTTTAAGTTTTATCAGAAGCATGATATTCTCACCATTCAGCAAGACTGCTCTCGAAATTGAACATAATCCACTATCCTGCAATCTATATATTGGGGCAACAACTTTCACCCGCTGGCAACAGGATGTTATGCTGGTCAAAAAAAATATACCGTTGTATCTGAAGAACCGATATCAATTTCGGTCCTTGGTGTTTGCAGGGGCAGCAATAGGCATGCGTTTTAACTGTTGTTTTGATGGGGAGGCTGACAAGAGTCTGGCCAGTTTCACAATTGACCGGTTGATTGCATTTTGGCGTACTCTACTGTTTCTTTTAATAAAACTTTAAACTACACTTGCCCCCATGGGAACCGATGGGTGACAGTCAGAGAAGCTCACTTAAGCCCTTGGTTCAGGTGAGCTAAAAATGAAAGTTCCATTATTTACAGTCAGCATTGACATTTTTTACGGCCACCACTATTCTTTCTCCCCGAGGTCAATTTCAGATCATTTGCTATGGCTTCAACTTACATCCACTTTATACGTACATGTATGTTCACTTTCGTGTCATCTCATGCAGCATTGAAATAAGAAGATATTCTCTGTCCTCTGGTAATCAAATCATTTTTTTCTTAAAGTCTGTTTGTTCCAATAACTTCCTTTTTAGATGCATGTTCCGTTTTTCACAATATCAGTGTTCAACAGTTTGAACTTCCATGGACTCTTATAGATAGAAGCTCTCCAAGTTTAATCTTTTTAAAACATCACAAACATATTTTTGTCATCTCTTTTTTCACAAAAACAATTTCTTTATTTTTCAAAAAGAAAGCAACTGTCCTTTTTTGTTGGTACACTTGTATAAATATTGTATGCATTTGGGGAGCTGTCTGTCATTTGTTATTTTCATTTCAACAATTCGTTAAATTACCTGGGCAAAAGGATTAAGAGCTTTTTCAATTCATATAAGATACTCCATATTATTCCACATCATCAGCAATCTGAATCAAATATTGAATATTATAAGACTCAGATGTTTCCTCATTTACAAATTCCGATGTTTTCACAAGCTATTTCCAAAGTTAGCTTGCATATGATAATGCTCTAAATTCTTCATCAGATTCCTTGAGTATGGACATAGCAACAGTTTATGAAAGAACATTTTTACATACCTGGTTAAAAACAACCAAACGTAGAACCAACGGGCCTGTATACAACAAAAATTGTCGCAGCTCGGTTGTCTTCCACCTATCAAGATAATAAAGTGTTTGCGCAAGTCAGTAACCTGCATACATGTTCAATTAAGGTTCATAAACCCTCTGCTCACTCATATGAATGTTTCTTTGACTTATTTGATTTTCCAAATGAAATGTATATGCTGAATAAAATACAAACAATTATAGCATGGCTTGCAGGGCAAAATTTGACAAAAAGGCACATAAACTTGACATATTTATAAAGGAATAATAGACATTTGTGTCATTAAGGGTTATCTCCCTTATCAGAGTATTAATGTACCTTAAATTCTGTAATTCAAGAGTTATCATTTCAAGTAAAAGACTTTATAATTTCTATTACAGTGTATGATTTTAGAATTGTTGTCCTGATGTGGTTCGTGGTTACAACCTACAAAACTACATGTACATCTTAAATTTTTACCGATTCAAACGGAATTTGATATGTTCCTCCTTAATGAAACTTTCATTGAGTCGGTTTCATCTCTTTTGAATATAACCCATAAAGTTTTTCACTACTTATATCAATCAATATTTCGAACATTTTAATGTATTTTTTTAACTATCTTATAATATAAAAATTATACCGCTTTAAATGAGTTATAATAAGTCTTAGTCTCAAAAGGTGACATTGTACAACATTCTCTTAGTACTCAAAATGCAGGTGCACTAGACATTGAGACAACAAACCCTAGAAACCTCGACAGAATGTTAATTTCAAAATACGGACAAAACAAAAGTGGCTTCAAGCCACCCCATCGCATGACCTATCCTTCACGTGTCATAGCACCAAGACTTACTCTCCCCAAATTCGAATGGTTGTGAATATCCATTTAATTAGATTACCCAACTAGAAGAATGGCAAATGATCAACAACTACTGGTAGTCAGATGCATAAGCGTTGACCTTTTTTGAGAGATTTTTGCTTCTTCCGTTGTGGTGCGGTGTTATGCAATACCTCCTCTTGATTTTCAGGCTGCTTCTGAGATTTACTTGGATCTAGCTTTGTCTCTGCAGATGATAGCTTGCCACGGCATCCCGCTGAGGATTTAGAAATGAGCTGCATAGGCCTTGTCCTACGAGGTTTAAGGTGCAACACACCGAGGTTTTGGCGTAGCTTGTTCCCCTTCATGTCTTGCAGTCACTCCGACTTGGCAATATTTTCTTTTCACTCTTGGAGGCACTGATGTCGAAGGGCTTTACTCTGAAGTGTATCGCTGGGTTGAGCCTTGTAATAAAATATGGATGGCACATGAACTGAAATTGTGGAATCTCTAGGGGTATACCCCCGTGGGGACCCGGGGTGACAAGAATAGGTCCCCGGCACCTCCTTGCATGTCGTAAAAGGCGACTAAATGGAGCAACCTGTTGGCCGTGGGTTGCGACCCGTGTTGGTGGAGGAGGGGATCCTGGTGGCTGAGGTCTGCAGATGCTTGGTGTAACGCACCTGTATGACCAACACTCCACTTTGGCCCCATATTCATCTAGACGGGAGGTCAAGTTTGGCCCGATTTGATCAAGCGGCTGGTCACGCCGAGCTGATTTTTATTGACATGCCTTAGTATTGATGTATTTGTCACTCTTTTCTTTATTTCCTGACTTTGCAAATTTCCAATACGCCGACGTTTCCATGTTAATATATTTATATCAAGCGGTGGCTTAGGGTCAATCAGATATATCTTATGTCTGAGTATAGTATCTTTGTATCCTCTTGGTGTCATTCTTACTGGATGTCCGTTTGACTTGACACCGCCCTTGTTGGCGCTCCATGGCGGGCGGGGAGCAAGGATTCTGAATTTTATTCATTAAATCATGGCTCTTACTAAAAAACGCTGTTACCCATCAGGTTTAGAATCCTCTCTGAATGATGAGCAGATTTCTTCAGTTTTGGAACATTAGCCCCGCTTCATCACACTTGAAGCACAGTTATCTGAAAATTATACAAAGCCTTTGACAAAAGTGTCACCTTTTGTAATACAAAAAGGTATACAGGGAATCATAGGAACACCTAAATCAGTGAAAAAGTTAAAATCTGGTGCTCTCCTCCTTGAAGTGTCCAAGAAGCAGCAATCTACATCCTTGTTGGCATTGAAAACTCTTGCAGATATCCCTGTTATTGGTAAGGTCCACAGTGGACTTAACCAAAGTAAAGGTATACTGTATGATAGAGATCACGACCTGGATGACATTCCTGAACAGGAAATCCAATCTGAATTGGAGTCCCAGGGAGTGATCTCTGTGAAACGGTTCACGAAAAAACGAAATGATAATATTGAACCGACCAATACATACCTTTTAACCTTTTGTATGCCAGTACTTCCAACTAACATCAAAGTTGGCCTATATCAAATGAAAATTGAAATGTTTGTGCCGAACCCGCTGCGTTGTTTTAAATGTCAGCGATTTGGACACGGACAAAATAACTGTAAAGGCGCTGAAACCTGTTTCAAGTGTGGTGAAGAGGGGCATGACGGCAAAGGCTGTCAGAAAACCCCAAATTGCAAAAATTGTAAAGGAGAGCATATGGCTTCCTCCAAGCAATGTCCTTTATGGATAAAAGAAAAGGAAATTCAGAAAGTGAAAGCAGAAAAACGAATTCCTTACCCGGAGGCTAAAAAGCTTGTTAATATGTACAACAATGTTCCAAAACCAAATGTACAATCTTATGCAACAGTTTTAAAATCTACTTCAAAGAAGGATATGTCAACGCAAGTCGATGAGAAAGATATTTCTCAACAACAAACATTAGTTGCTTTATCATCTAATGACAAAGCAAAAACATCAACACCTGCATCTGCAGGTCCTGCAGCTGCGGCTGCACCAAAACCTGCAGTTACTGCACCATTACAGCAAGCAGCTGCAGGTAACTCCAAGTCATCAGGGAGACAAAACAAGTCTCCTCTGAAAAATTCCAAACAATCCAGCAATCGAATGCCAAAAGGCACAAATGATCCCGTTGCCTTACATAATAAATTCGGGGTCTTTGAGGAAATGGATTTTACTCCATCTCAGTCCTCTTCCTCACGAGGCCGAAGTCTTTCGCCAAAATCAAACAAGGGGAGGATATCCCCTATTACACTTAATAAATCTAAATGAATAATTCCACAATTATTCAATGGAATTGTCGAGGTTTTAAAGTTAATTTTAATGAGTTGTCCCTACTTATTCAGGATCATTGCCCTGTAGCAGTATGTTTACAAGAAACACATTTAAAAGAAACTGACAAGATAACGATTAAAAACTATATCATGTATAACCATTATGCTCCAACTGATAGAGCCACTGGTGGTTGTACAATAGCAGTATACAATAAATGCATTCATAGCAAAATATCTCTGAAAACAAATCTCCAAGCAGTAGCTTTAAGGCTTTCTCTTGAAAAAACAATTACTTTATGTTCTGTTTATATCCCTCCGAATTATCAATTACAGTCTCATGAACTAACAGAATTAATACAACAACTTCCTGCTCCATTTATGATTGTGGGTGATTTTAATGCCCATAATCCACTTTGGGGCAGTGATAAAATAACAGATAAAGGCAAAAAACTTGAAGATGCTATATCTCATCACAATTTATGTATACTAAATGATGGATCAAGTACTTACTTGCATCCGGGCAATGGTTCATACTCCTCAATAGATCTCAGCTTAGTAGATCCTTCCTTACTTTTAGAATTTGATTGGTCTGTACATGACGACCTTTGCGGAAGCGATCATTTTCCACTCATTATAAAACAAAATAAACCTTCTAAAGATAATTCAATTAAACACTGGAAATTAAACAAGGCTGATTGGACTAAATTTGAAAACTTGTGTTTAACAAATATTACGGCTGATAAATTTGTAGATGAACCAGACCCTATTGAAAAAATTACTGAAATTTTATTAGACATAGCAAATGAATGCATACCTAAAACCTCGACAAATTCTTCTAAAATTAAAAAGCCATGGTTCACAGACGAATGTGATGCAGCCATTAAAGCTCGCAAAAAAGCAGAAAGACTTTTTAACAAATTACCAACTTCTATAAATCTAGATAATTTTCGGATATTCCGAGCAAAAGCTCGAAGAACGATAAATTACAATAAACGGAAATCTTGGAAAAACTTTGTTGCAAATTTAAATTCGCATACCCCTATTCATAAGGTGTGGAATGCTATAAGAAAAATAAAAGGAAAGGGATCCGGTGAAAAATATCAACACCTTAATGTTAGAAATCAGGTTATCACAGATCAAAAGGAAATTTCTAATGAAATAGCTAAAACAATTGCAAAAAATTCCTCAACTGATAAAATGAATGATAAGTTCATTGCATATAAAAATTCACAGGAAAAGAAAACATTAGATTTCACTTCAGAAAACAAAGAACATTATAATGAACCATTTACTTTTGATGAATTACAAAAGTCTCTAAATAAATCCCATGATACAGCAGTAGGACCGGATCAAATTCATTATCAATTACTAAAACACCTTCCAAAGAGCAGCAAAGAATGTCTTCTGCAAATCTTTAATACGATCTGGGAAAAGGGTATTTTTCCACACTCCTGGACACAGGCAACAATTATACCTATTCCTAAGCCTGGAAAGGACCACACAGATCCAAATAATTATAGACCTATAGCTTTGACAAGCTGTATATGCAAAACCATGGAAAGGATAATCAATGAACGTTTAATATGGTTTCTTGAAACAAATAATATTTTAACAAATATACAATGCGGTTTTAGGAAAAACCGTAGTACAATTGACCATCTAGTAAGATTAGAAACCTATATTCGGGATGCCTTTATAAAAAAGGAACATGCCGTGTCTATATTTTTTGATTTAGAAAAAGCATATGACACAACTTGGAAATATGGTATTTTGAAAGATCTTTTTAATATCGGCCTCAAAGGAAACTTACCTATATTTATCGAGAAATTTTTAAATGACAGAAATTTTAATGTACGTTTGGGGTCTACAATCTCAAACAATTTCGATCAAGAAATGGGTGTACCACAAGGTAGTATACTATCAGTCACATTATTTAGTATAAAAATAAACAGTTTAGCTAAAATACTTAAAAATGATATGCTTGGAAGTTTATATGTTGATGACTTTCTACTTTGTTACAAATCCAAAAATATGAAATTGATCGAACGTAATTTACAGTTTTGTCTACATAAAATACAAAACTGGGCCGATGAAAATGGTTTTAAGTTTTCAAAAAATAAAACTGCATGCGTACATTTCTGCTCTAAAAGAAAAGGCCATGAAGATCCAAAATTACAATTAAACGGCGATCCAATAAAAGTACTTAAAGAGATTAAATTTTTAGGTGTTATATTTGATAATAAACTATCTTTTATTCCACATATTAAAATGCTTAAAGAAAAGTGTACAAAAGCACTAGACGTTATTAAAGTTATTGCAAATACTAAATGGGGGGCAGATAAGAATACACTACTTAAACTTTATCGATCTCTCGTCCGATCTAAATTGGACTATGGTAGTATAGTATATGGATCAGCGAGGACCTCTTACTTAAAAGCACTTGATGCTATCCATCATCAAGGACTTCGGTTATGTTTAGGGGCTTTTCGAACGTCCCCTGTAGACAGTTTATATGTTGAGGCAAATGAACCACCTCTCGATTTAAGAAGAATTAAACTTACCTTGAAGTATTTAGTAAAATTAAAAGCCAATACAGATAATCCAGCTTTTGACTGTGTGTTTCATCCTGAGCATGAAGATTTATACAATAAAAAGAAAAAAAGCATTAAATCAATTGGTCTTAGATATAAAAATCATATCAGAGATTCTGAATTACCGTTAAATATAATAAAACCTACTACTAAATTCGACATACCGCCATGGAAATTACTTAAACCAGCTGTAAATACATCCTTAACGGAATTCATAAAGTCAGAAACAAATTCCATCGTTTTCAAACAGAAATTTGCAGAATTAAAGCAATCTAATCCTTCTACAATTGAAATTTATACTGATGGTTCTAAAGACCAAAATAAAGTTGCTGCTGCTGCAGTGGTCGAAAATGATGTGTTTTCTACACGCCTTCCCAATGAAGCAACAATATTTACAGCCGAAGCAAAGGCAATTCAACTTGCATTTGAATATATAGAATCATCTAGTGATAATTCATTTACAATTTTTTCAGACTCCCTCTCCTGTTTACAATCAATAAGCAATATGAACATTGATCACCCTTATATTTTAGATATTTTAACCAAATACTTTAATATCACAAATCAAGGTAAAGTTGTTGAATTTTGTTGGATTCCAAGTCATATTGGTATTTCTGGTAATACTAAGGCTGACAGTGCTGCGAAAAAAGCACTTCAGTATGAAATTGTTCACTTTAAAATTCCTTATACTGATTTGAAATTTTTAATAAAAAATTATGTTAATTCTGTATGGCAAATATATTGGAATTTTTGCGATAATAATAAACTTTACGCAATACAGAACACAGTTAATCATTCATCTAATTTTGGTTTGAAACGTCAGGATGAAGTTATTATTTCAAGAATTCGTATTGGACATTCAAAGTTCACTCATTCATATCTACTGAACAAGGAACGACAACCCGAATGCATATCTTGTGACTGTGCAATTACTGTACAGCACATACTGTTGGAATGTTCTGATTTTTCGCCCATACGTAGTAGACTCTTTAATAATATACATACAATGCATGACCTTTTTCAAAATATTAATCCGTTAACAATATTAAAGTATTTGCAAGAAACTGATTTTTACTGTAAAATCTAATGTATTTATATATTAATGTATTTTAATGAAAAACATTTTTAATTATTTTAATTGAACAGCTTTACATTTTTAATTTTAAGGTCCGTCGGATGGGACGTTAAATGGTGCCCCGTGTCAAGGATTACAACCCCCTTGGCACGCAAAAGATCGTTTCCCTGATTTTCGAAAAAGAGTAGGCTCATTGGGGGCCGTCAGAGAAACCCAAAACTTTATAAACTGGTCAAATGATTTACTTTTTATCGCCGATATATGGCTGAAATATTGCCGATTCGGCGTAAAACATTAATCAATCAATCAATCTAGGGGTATATTCCATTAAGCGACACGAGTTACTAGAGTTGTAAATAAAACAACCATGCAAGTCAGAAAAAATATCGTATCAACTCTTTCCAAAAATCGTTTTGCTTCTATATAAAGCACAAAAATATTCCATACCTTGTCATTTAGCAAATTGTGGTCTTCTAGGCAATTCAGGTCAGCCACCTAGCTGCTAGCTGCATCTTCCTTTTGGCTGGAAGTTTTGGCTTATTGTTGATTTTGCTTTCTGTAAGGAAGGATATTTTTTCTCTAGTGAATCAAATAAGTTATTGACCCTGAATCCATGTTTTTGGCGGCAACTCAGAGGGCAGAGATAATGTGAATAGCAGAAACAGTCACTACATTGTAATTTATCTGTTATTGAATTAAGATGAGACGTGGCTGGGAATAGGACCACAGAAGCCATGTCAAAACTCAGTTTCACCCTTGCATCTTCCAATGCCTCAAGGCTCCTCGGTGATGGAAGAGGCTTTATCTGCAGGGTTTTAAGGACAGCTGACACCAGTTCCCACCAGTATTAAATGTACACTGATAATACTGATGTCTTTCTGCAAGAGACTTTTGTTTTTTTTGGTTCTGAAAACAAGTTCTTTAAAATAATTCTGCTTTCCCTCAAAACGCAGCGTTTGAAGATGAATGAGGGGATCAAACATCTGTGTAAGTTTGGGATAATGGAGAGTATAGTGGAATTTCGGTTTGACATTTTCAGGGAATCAATTTCTGTAACATTCATGAAATTTTTCAATGATATCTGACATAATCAAAATGTGTTCTGTTGCTAGAGCTGGTAAACACATTAAATAGAAGAAGAATACATTCCCATGTTCTATCAGTTTTGGGAATTTTATGTCCTATTAGCAGAGGCAAAAATCTGATCAAGCACCTCATTTTTTAGCTTACTGAGTACTTGGCCAATTTTGGATGGGTTATAGCTTTTGTCAATCTCTGAGAGTTTAAATGATATAATTCTTTTATTTAAATCATCTAAACTGAAAACATCCT